GTCTGTCCTGGGTCCAGTTACTGTTTAATATTTTCAGCAATGATTTAGGCAATGGAACTGATCTGCATAATTAGCAAATGTGCAGATGACAGCAAGCTGAATAGAATTGCACACACCCTTAAGCAGGGGTTTTCAATGTTTTTTAACAAGTGTACCTCTTCTGCCTCAAGGTTTCACCTCATGCACCCCTTTATATTTTTCTCTCATTTTTAAGGGGTGGGGGGGCAGATTGAGGCCCCCATGGTGAGGGTGGGAGTGGGGCTGGGGCAGGTGCTGTACAGCCGGGGTGGAGTGTGGGACGGGGCGCAAGAGCAGTTCATCTCAGTGGGGCAGGGGGTGCGACTACTGCTGCTGCATGTACTCCAGTGGAGGCCGGGGGCGGCAGGTGCCCCACAGATCTGTGTGTGGGGCAGAAGCAGCTGCTGTTGCAGGCTGGACTCTGCACCCTGCTGCCACTGCACCAAGAGCTGCGTGATGCAATGTGCCTGCTACCACCAGGCGGGCAGGGGAAAGACACATAGATGCACACATGCACAGATACCAACCCCCACAGCAGGTGTGTGTGGGGGGAAGGGGTAGGGTGGGGCCAGATCGAGAATGGCAGGGTAGGTGAGGGGTAGTGTGTCTCTGTGCCTGCTCCTAGGAGCAGGGCTGGGTGGGGGGTGGGAGGCAAGGGCAGTGGTGCCCCTCTGCAGGCTGCACATGCGCTGCCCAGATGGCTGGACAGGGGGGAGGTGGACATGGTGGGCAAAGCCAGTGACTGCTCTGCGCCACTGCACCCTGTGCCGCTTTCTCAAAACTGATTGCACATGCAGCTCTGCAGGCTGGTGATGGGCCTCGTGCCCAGTCAATCATGCACCGCCCGCAAAACTGCACGTGTGACTGGCTGTGAGAAGGCGGTGCAGGGCAGTGACAGTGGCGGGGGGGGGGGGGGGGGCGCCCCCTGCCAGCCAGGCAGCATGTGTGTGGCCTGCAGAGGGGCACCGCTGCCCTTGCCCCCTTGGCTCTGCTCCTGGGAGCGGGCACAGAGTGCGAGCTGAGGTGGGAGGCAGGGAGGCGCTGCGGTGTGCTGCATGGGGCCAGCAGCATCCAGTATGCCCCACCCTTCCCCTGGGTGAGAAGCAAAGTATGGGAATGTGCAGGGGAGATGCTGCTGCTGTGCCCCAGGGTGCATTCTGTCCCCATCCATCCACCCGCACATACCCCCTACAGCCTTTCTAAGTACCCTTAGGGGTACGTGTATTCCCAGCTGACAACCCCTGCCCTTGAGGGTAGGTTTAGGATTCAAAATGACCCTGATAAACTGGAACAATCATCTGAAATTAATCAAATGAAATTCAATAAGGATGAGTGCAAAGTCCTGCACTTAGGATGGAACAATCACATGCATAAATACAGACAGGTGAACACCTGGCTAGCCTGCAGTATTACAGGAAAGGACCTGGAGGTTATACTGGACCATAAGGGGCATTTTTATACATGCAAGTGCTGCAGGACTGGGCGCTTTGAAAAGTGCCTGGTGCTGTGACACTTGCAGTCATATAAGTGGTGAAATGTGCGTCAGTGCTAAGAAAATGGTGGCAGTGTGCTTTTAAACTAAAACACATCGGAGGTGCTTTAGTTCAAAAGTGCACCGCCTCCATTTTCTGTGTGTTCACACACATTTCACCACTTATACAACTGCATGTGGTTCAGTGCAGTTTGCCTTAGTTCACGTGAGGAACAGACTCAACTAATCAAGTCTGCTCCGAAGCGGCAGATATCTGCCACATTGTGGGACAGAAAAGTATGTGTATAAGTGCCCAAGATATCCAGGAGCCAACAATATTTTACTGTTGCAGAAAAGGCCATTTGAATACTAGGAGTGCCATATGTAAGTCATGGGAAGTGATTCTTCCACTCTATGCAGCACTGAAGTACTATGTCATGTAGTGAGCTGTTATTCCTTTAGCCAGGCCCAAGAGCCACCCTTCTCCCTTTCCTACCTCAAACTAAGCAAAATACCAATGAAATCCACCACCCTGGGTAAGGGCGTTACCACAATGCTTCAGTGTTGCCTTTCTTTTCAGCTTCCTTTCTCTCCAGCATCATCTCTCAGGGAGCTTTTAACTTCCTTCCCGGGCAACCAATCACCCCTGTCAGTTGCCCTAGTGCTCCTAGGTAGGTAGGCTATTACCCTTTAATCCACTGAAGATGAGCTTCAGCCCCTGAGCCATGTAGCTTGTTACAGTCCCATTTTGGGCACCACACTTCAAAGAAGTTCATGTCTTAGAAAGACATGAACAAATTAGGAGGTCCAGGAGAGAGCAACAAAACTGACTGGAGACCTGGGAAACATGACTTGCAAGAGAAGGTGGAAAGAACAGGGATTACCATATTTTCTTGCATACCACGTACCCCAAAATAAAGCACACACATTGTAGAAAAAAAAATTCCAAGAGTCGCAACTGATTCTATGATAGAGACAGCAGGAGCTTGCCAGTATGGCAGGACTTCAACAAAGTTAGGCCCTAGAGCCTTGCAAAGGCAGTAGCAAGATTGTTATTTCTTTACTGTAAATAGCTTTTATATATATTCCTGTAAATAATTAAGTATTGTTTCCACATCACAAGCCTCATCAAGATATTACAGATTGCATGCAGCAGCTCATTTGCCCTGAGCCAGCTCAGTTGCTGCTTTAAGCACAAGCTACAGTGCTCAGGAAACAGTGGCCAAAAAAGTGGCAGCCATTAGAACACAGCACCTCCCACCTTCTAGTCCAATTAAATAAATCAGTTTCCTCACTTAAGTCATGCACCCCAATCTTGGAGGGCTGATTCTGTGGGGAGAGGTGTGTGTGGTATGTAAGTAAATATAGCATAACTCGGGAGAAAAGCATTCTGAAGAGGGATTTGATAACGATCTTCAAATGACCTGAAGAGTGGTTATAAAGAGGACTGTGACAAGTTATTTTTTGTGAGTATAGGGCGCAGGTAAAAAAATAATGATCTTAAATGTCATCAAATGAAATTTATATTGGGTATTAGGAAGAACCTTGCTAATTAAGAGGGTAGTTAAACAGTGGAATAGATTACCTAGAAAAACTGTAGAATCCTCATCCCTGGAAGTTTTTAAGAGCATGATAGATAAATATTTGACTAGAATGGTTTAAACAGGGACGATTCCACTATGAGCAAGAGTTTGGATTAGATTGCCTCCCAAGATCCCTTCCAGTACTATTTTTCTACGATTTCTAAGAATAAATCGCTATAAATTGGCCATGAGTAAATTCATGCCAAAAATCAGAAGGTTGCTAATCATCAGGAGAGTGTGAATCTAGAACAGCCTTCCATTAGGAGTGGCGTGGTCAAACAAACCAGTTTTAAGAGGGAACTTGATAAGTTTATGAACAGAATTATAACATGTTCACAATAGCAGGGGGCTGAACTTAGTGATCCAAGAGGTCCCTTTCAGTACTAACTCCCTGTAGTGAATTGGAGCTATATTGACAAGGGAGACTCGGATGCCAAATGCCTTTTTAGATGCCTCACTCCAGCCTTCAGGCATTACTGAATTCATAAAACCCTTGCTCAGCTGCTGCCTAACACTGTAGGTCCTAAAATATATACTGCTGACTATTAATACTGTGACACCACTGAGCAATTAGGTGCCTAGCTCATAATTAAACCTTGACACGATTTACAAATTAGGCATCCCCCTTCCTACCTTACATGGGGTGCTCAATCCAGTAGGGATAGCTCTACTCAACTCTAGTCAAAATAAAAGAGTGCCAGGAGGTGGTAGTAACAGTATCTTCTTTATATGCTGTAGCCCAGGGTTTGGAGCACTTATCAGGGGTGTAGGAGACCTGGGTTCAACTCCCTCTTCTGTGTGGGAATCCCGGTGGAAAAGGATGCCTAATTCTCTTTGAGCAGTGGGACTTTAGCCCCTGCCCCCTCCCTGGGCCTGTCTTGCTGGCTAGCTTATCAGCACCTGCTCAGTTTGCTGGCCTCTGTGAATCTCACTTTACAGCATATAATTCTCTCCATGCATTGTGTAGGGGAGCTTAATCACATAACCTGGGTTTATGAATTACACTGGACAGAAGGGCTCCTAAAAACACAGAATCTAGGCTTGCTATCTATTTCTTTGGAAATAGATATTACCATTAGAATAGCATTATTTTTCACTGCAAAGATTAAAAGTTAAAAATAAAAACAAACATAAACACACACAACTATGTAAAGCACTCTGCAGAAGTCCACCCCCAAATTGACAGCTTTGGAATGAAACAGGTTAATTTAATATATATATATAGCTGGATTGTGCAAGTCTACATGTATGGACATATGAAACATGCACAGTTCATCTATATCAACCTATGTAATTGTAAGATGAAGTCAAAACCTTTGCAATTAAATTCTATGTGAGGACAGACCAGTCTTTTCAACACCCACCTGGTATGTAAGACAAGAAACACAAGCTGTTAATTTCAGATGAAATTGGACAACCAAAGGAAGCAGCATGACAAAAATCACAGACTAAAATCATTTAGTCCTTCAGAGGTACAACATTTTGTATACACCATTTTGGTGTCCAAAATGTTCGTATTACACCATTCCCTAAGATATGGGTTTTTCACCGGTTTTATCCCCAGTAGGAGGAATACCATGCTACTAAAATCTTGACGTAATTGGGTCAAGCTATATGTATTCAGAGATGTAATTCAGTCATACATAAATGGTGTGTAACAGATGGAATATTAAAAATATACTACTGGATATTCAATTACAGGAATGGCATATCATTCAAAAATACTGCATTACAGTGGCAAATTCTTGTTTTTTTCTTTAGCCATGTCTGGAAAAAAACATTAAAGTCACTTAACTAGCAAGATACAATGTCCCTTTTTCCTTAGTCACATGACCATCCGTGGACTGTTGTCATGAATTCCAACTAGTGTTCATAATGTGTATTAAACACATCTTTTAGCAGCATCCTTAGCCACCATTTCTGTGGAATGTGCCCTCCGGCCCCCCATTCTCTCAGAACAGAATGGTTATTGAGCAAGAAAGTCCTTGTGAAACAGCAGAGCTTGGAGTCTGCAGTAAACCAAATTTACTGTGCAGTATCCCCCCATCAGATGAAGACAGTTTTTTACTTCATCCCCTTAAATTTCATCATTGATTTGTATGGGTTTTTGAAACCACAGACCATAAAATACCAAGAAAGACAAGATAAACACAGTTTGCTCAGCTCACTCTCCAAAATATTCCAGTTCTTCAGCTGGTCATTGTTCTTGCTGTGTATGTCTTTCACATACAGTACTACTGATTGGGTTAAAAGCCTTCTTTTCCTGCTGTTTTTTTTTTTTTTTTTACCAAGCATCACTGAAAGTTGACTTGTCTTTGCTCTGTGTCCTTTGTTGTTCTCAGTCTTTAATGATGGTCTTTGAGTTAAGAGGTCACCAAAGCATAGATCATGCTGAATGTAAAAGAGAAAGAGACAATATGAAAGTATCTTTTTGAATCCTGCAGAGCACTTTGATTTTTATAACCCTTTACCCTCCATTTCTCAAGTCTGACTCTAATGGCCTAAGCCTTCTTTTGTTATTGTGGCTTTCAGTCCTTCCATTCTCTATAGCAATTGAATTATGATGCATTCAAGATGATTATCAGAAAACACTTGAGATTTAACAAATTCATTAGCCATTTACCATCATGCCACAAGCTGTGTATGAGTTTAATAAAATGCATTCTGCTGTCATTGTTTGAAAAGAACAGGAACAAAATTATTCTACATTTGCTTGGCTGATCTTTAAAACTACTCTCTGAGGCAAAGACAAGAGTTTCTACTAAAACTATGTAAATTTTCTTTCCATAGGAATAAACATTTTTATGCAATGATAAAGAGATAAGTTAGAAATAATCCATACAAACTAAGTTTAACTCTTTATAATTATGAAATCATATTATATTGCCAGGGTCCTGTTTTATGGTATGCCTATTTCTGATAGCGCAAAAGGGTTGGTATACAGAATTCTGCAGTTCTTACTAGATCACTTAGGGCAGACTGTGGCTTTGAGTTTCTAGGATGAGAGGAGTAGAGGGAATGATGGAATTGACCATCAAGATGGCCTCAGGAGGGCTTTTGAACTCTTGTATCTATGTGACTCTGTCAGGGTCTGCTGGCCAAAGAGATGGGGATAGAAAAAATATTGTCCCCCCTCCACTGGCCTTTGACTCATCTTGCTCTTCTCAGGATAGTTAGCACTGCCAGAAGCACTAGTTTAACATTATCCCTGCTCTTCACACTGAGATTATGCCTGACCCACAGAGGTAGGTGCCTGTCTGACTCCTATTGACTTCTATGGGAATGAGGTATGTATGGTATGCCTTACCATACGTAAGGCAGTTTGGAACCAGTAGCATAACCGAGGGGGAAGAGGAAGGGGCTTGAGGCAGCAGTCCTAGGCACTGCTTTTATCGGGGGACACAAAAAGAGGTGCCACCATAATCAGCACCATGATGGCCAATGCTGCCCAGTGCATCATAGTTGCCCTGGGTATAGACTAGTGCCCTGCTATGCTTCTGTTTGGCACCAAAATACTCCTGTGGGTCTGAGCTATTGTACCTTCCTATACTTTCATACTCTCCCCATACTTCCCACACTTCCTATACCTAGTCAGCCACAATTTTACTCGTAATAATCATACCCAAATTGAATCTCCACAGACATTACATTATCACCATTGCCAGCTGAGGGAACCTTCATTCCTCCACTGCAGTGTACAAGCCACACTTTACAAAGCACTACACCATACCACAGTGTTTGGATAAGAAATATTCAATACAATTGCAATTATGGGAAGACGTCTGGGGGAATGCTAACATGAAACAACACTTTTGTTTAAAGTTAAAAGCCTGAGTTTGAGTTAGTGAACTGCTTTATAATGTAATGATATGGTCCATACAAGCAAAAATGCAAAGATGATGCAAGAGTCTTTTTAATTAGATGTGATCCCTGCCTAGTCCTTGCAGCAATTTACTTAGTGCACATGACAATAAAGAAAGTATTGGATAAAGTGAGTGCATCTGTCAACTTGGAGTCTTTCCACTGACCTAGAGCAGGCTTTGGACCAGACCTGTATGTCTGGCACTAGAAACACTGTGCCAGGTGTGTCTGGCACTGGTTAAGCTCTGAAATAGATTCCTTAGAATCACTAGCGTAACTAGGAGTTGGGGGTGGGGGGGCATGAGCCCCAAGCACTTATTAAGGGGGAGCACTGGAACAGAGGCAGGAGAGTGCCAGAATAACTATGATGCTACTCAGGCAGTCACAGGCAAGAAGCAGTGGGTGAAGACAGAAAGGCACCAAATTAGGGGTTTTATTTCTTTGCTCTGAATAGCATTTTGCAGCACCTATGGGAGAGGCAGGGCAAGTAGCTTAACACCTTGGCTCAGGGATACCTTCTCCTGTAGTTGCTAGGATGCTAGCGCTGCCCTAGCTCTATCCTTTATGTCCTTCTCTCTCTCTGCACAGCTGAAACCTGCAGCTGCCAGGATGTGAGAGTCCTCTCACCTTCACCTTCTGGGTCCTGGACATCACCTGGGGTCCACAGCTGCCCAATGTCACAACCCAAAGGGTGTGATTTTTGTTTGTGTGTGCTTCGGCACTGCTAAATTGTTCCCGCTAAATTATAGCTTCTTTGCACGGTGGAGTTTTCTGCTGCAAAAGAGAACCCCGGTGCAAGGGAGAATTTCCCGCCAATTTGAAGCTTTCTTTGCAGGGTGCATTTCTTTGTTGCAGCACAGAAATGCTCATTGCAAAGAATTTCCCACCATTTGTATGCTAATTCGAGTCCCATTATTGGCCAGTTCTAAATTATTCACACGTGGCGGCTAGTGATTGGCTTGCTAGCCGTATAAAAGGCTTGAGTGGTTTCCGCCCAAGTTGGAGGACTCCACGAACACCGGGAGGAGGAGACTTCACGCTGTGTGAAGATCTCTATGCGCTGCGGATCCTTACGGACCCAACGCATTTCAAGCAGGCAACAGAGGTCTGATCAACCTCTAGCCTCTCCCCGTTGTCGATCGCAGTCCAGACATATCCCTTCCCGCGCGCAAAAGAACCGGACCCACGGAGCCTAGCAACCTTCGTGTGAGTCCTTGCCGGACGACTTCAGAGCTCTTCTACCCGGGTTCGAGTCCTGCAGGTTTATCTTCCCGTTGCCGAAAACTCTTGCGACATACCCTCGTGTTTTACATCTTCCCGTCGCTGAAAACCCTTTGCGACGTACCCTCGTGCCCTGCAGGTTCGAGTTTTGTTTTGTTGTCTGTCTGTATCCGCAACTCAAGCAAGTTTTCCAGCCTGCACCACTGCCATCTCGGTGTAAGTAAACAATCTTTTAAACTACCGCTAAGCGTTTGTGCCTAATTCCAGCTCGACGGCCTTCCCTCTCTGACCCGGCGTGCCCGGGCTGCTGGCCACAGCCTGCATGCAGCACGGAAAAGGGCTCGGGTCGCTCCCGGCCCGCACACCCAAGGCACAAACCCTAGTGGGTATGCCTCTGGCCCCATCCCAGCTCTGCCCAGGACACTAAAAGAGCTTGCTATACCTCTGCCTAGAAGGACTATGGAGTCTCCCACATTGAATATTTTTAAGAGCAGGTGAAACCAGTGAATGGGTGAAATGGTTAAGGCAGGAATGATCCAGCTGTGAGTGAGGGGGTTGGATAGGTAATCTCCTATGTTCCTTTCAAACTCTTTTTTCTATATTTCTGTATCATGGTGGAAGGGTAGTCCATGTACTGAAATGTACTGCCAAGTGTACCTTGGTGCTGCAGACCATAGCCTGAAGGCAACTTTGCCAACTGTTCTAGGGCAATGAAAGCAACTGGGCCCATTTCCAGTGTTGTTTTGAGTGTCACATATGAATCAATTTGCACATCACAGGGCAGAATTTGATCCTCAATTGGACATTACTAGCAGTGGAACTATTTTTTGTTTCCTATAGCATAGTTGTCATTTTATATCATCTGAAGAAAAGTATCCAAATGACTAGAAAAAGTTAGTTTCTTGGTGGAGATAAGTCTTTAATTGGAGGCTAAATAAAACTGAATTGGAAATCTTGGGGCTGCATTGAGATACTGATTCATAAAAGCACTTTAAGTACATGCTTAGCATTCAAGTCAGACAATTTCCCTGGAACTTAAGCAGATACATTAGGACTGGTTTCTTCCTATGCAAAATTATATTCCAGGAAGACAACAACATTATTATAAACCCTTAATCAGATTTTCCTTAGCTGTTCTGATTTTGAATAGACATGTTTTCCTGAAGCAGAGCTTAAAAGTGGTTACTTGAGATGAAGGGTACAGATCTGCCGGTTCTGTTTGATCCTTAGGGCATGTTTTAACTTTTCACATGAAAAATAACTCTCCTTCCTCATGGGAATGATCAAACTTACCAGTAAAGATAGTAGAAGAATGAAAGGAGATAGAAAGCTAGTTTACACCAGGCCTCTTTCTGACAATAACTCAAGGTGTCTGCATTCATGACTGCAGGGGGATCGTATGCTAGCTCTGAACTGTCCGCCGGGCAATGGAAATACCTGAAAGAGCAGGAGAAGACATCTGAAGTGACATTATAACATTCTAGATAAACGTATACAGGTTACAAGCCTTCAGACCTTTGATCACCAGCTGGAATCAAGAAGAAATCTTTTGTCGTGACATAACAGTATACACATGAAGGTTCTCAATATCTCTTTGAAGCACCAGGGGGGCATTGTTCATATCAGGATACCAATCTTAGATAGCAGTGGCATAACTAGGGCAGTGTGACCAGGGCAGCTACCCTGGGAAACCGCTGTGCAATTGTGCTGACAGTGGGGCAGCAGGCAGAAGTCACCGCATCCTCCATGTGTGCCAGGGGCCCAGCCATGTTGTTATCCCCCTGTTATAAAGACGGGTTCCAGCATGGTGCAGTGGCAGGCCCAGCAATTGAGGAGGTAGGGCAACAATAGTGGCAATGGCCAGAAAGCAACCAGGCCTACATTAGTCCTCACTCACCCTCCTGCCACCTATTGCTATATCCACCATAGCCCTAGGGCCCCGTATTCTGCAGCAGGCCACTTGCCCTTGGCCATGCCCCCAACTCCACCCTGGCCATGCCCCCAACTTCTGTTTGCCCATTGGTACCCCAGCAAGCCATGCAGCATGGCTCCACAGGTCAGAGGTGGCCCATGTGCCTGATGTTTGACACCCCTGTTCTAATACATGTAACACCTGTATATTGTGAGTGAAAATGTTACATAGTGGTATGATCACAGAGTCAAGATTTCGGAATTTTAACTGCAATTATGTCATTGACTGACTGTATGACAACAGGTAACTGAATCAATTAATAGGTTCATTTATCCATCAGTACAGAGGAAATAATACTGCCATAGTCCAAATGGAGGCTATACAGCTTAATTGTCAGTTAAATACAGAGGTATCAAAATTATTGTCAAAACATTTTTTTTTAATGGAAAAGGCTGTTCTGAAAAAAGAAAATTGGCAATGTTTGGTGAAGATATTTTGTGTTCCAGAGAATCTTTAAAAAACCTGAAGACAATCTTGACAAAAATAAGTTTTTATCTGAATTATTTCATAGGAAAAAAATCTGATCAGTCTTAGTTAAATGATTTATGATCTTTAGGTGAAGTATTATTACCATATTTACTTGATTCCAAGACAAGATTTTTTTCCCCATTTAACATGCGGGTGGGGGGAGCCCCTTGTCTTGGAACTGAGTATGGGGTGATGGCGGAGACGGGTAGCTGCAGTGGCTCTGGCCTTAACCCAGTGTTGGGGCTGGAGCCACAGCTGCTGTATGCCCTCCCTCCCCCAGCCACCTCTCTCCTGCACAGAGGTGAAATTCTGGATGAAGCAACTTCACTGGAAACATGATTTCACCCCAAACCTTCCTATGTGTTTTGTCTAGTAATGCAATTACAGGTGGATGACCAGGGCACCAGCCCCAGGCACCCACTTTGAGAAGACTAAAAAACCAGCAGCTGCTGCCAATGCCTGTTCAGCTGCTGCAATTACTACAACCAGCCCAACCCAGCCTCTGCTGCTGCTGCTGCTGCTACCCAGGGCATAGACCCTGGCAGTTATGCCTTGGATTTTGTCATGATATCTAGAGGTGTTGCCCTGGAGGCTCCAGGTTCTCTCTTCAACATTCTGGCTGGCTGGCTGTCCTCTGGTGCAGACTAGATCCTGCTCCCCAGATTCCTCTGCTGGACAAAATCTCAACCTAAAATAGCATGTCTTGCAGCTGAGTTGGGAGGAGCACCTGCTCGGACTTTCCAGGAGTTTCCCCCCAGAAATTATGCTAAGAAATAAAGTCTGTCATCCCTATAAAGTCAGTATGCCTATAATTACCAATTCCTCTGGAACACTCTCTCCACGAACAATCTGTAATGTATGGAACACCGTGTAATATACAGTGGGCGTGTCTATATGTGCATTTGATCTGGCCTAAAATTCCTCTGGTGTAAACTACTGTGGAGTAAGCGCTTTTGGGTAAGTGTCTACACATGCAGTGATTAGGGTGCAGATTTGCTGTTCTTTGTACCAAGTTTCCTGCAGCTCTGTAATGGGCACCTGCTGCCACCAGGGGCAGCTCTAGGCTCCAGCTACAGCTGCTAGCACCCGGCAGCTATCTTTAAAAGCCAGCCCTGCTCTACTCTCTGGCCAGCCACTTTCCTCCCCAGGATCAGCATACCCAGCACAGAGGCAGCACATGTCAGCTCTCTCCTTGCCCACTCTGCCTCCCCCTGCTATGGTTGCTCCAGCCCCTGCCCCTGATAGCAATGACCAGCACCCTGAGCTCCTGCTGGCTGCCATGCTAGCCCTGCTGGCCCGCTGCACCAACTGCTGCTTGGCGCACAGCCATTTGGGCCTACCCAGTTCACTGCAGCACAGCATCCCAGGGTTGCCACCACACAGCTCTTGCCAGCAGGGATGCTGACAAGAGGCTTAGGGATGCTACCACCGGGGCCACTGTCACCCTCCTAGGCCTCCAACCCTGCTACCTCTGGGGCCACCAGGCCAGCCAGGTCAATGAGCAGTGTAGGCACCTGGGATGATGAGCAATGGCTGGAGACCATCCTCATGATCTGACCCACCTTCCGCAATCTCGTGGAGCAGCTCTGGCCACACCTGGAGTGGCAGGACACCAGCATGAGGCCGCCCCTCTGCATGGACACCCACATGGCCCTCTCTCTACTCAAACTGGCCATGCCCGCCAGCCTGTGGTACGTCGGACACCTTTTTGGCATAGGCAAGACCACCATCCAGGAGGCCATCCTGGAGGTGTGCAGCACCCTCCACAATGTGCTAGGGCAGTGGTTCCCAATCTGTGGTATGGGTATCACCAGTAGTACACAGACCACCTGTCAGTGGTACACATTAACAGATTTAATATAATTACTTTATATGTCAAAAATTTGCTTGTGGTACTTAAGGTTGTATCATTTTAAATTGGTGGAGCACAATCTGTCCGAGTTTGGGAACCACTGTGCCAGCGGATACCATGCTCCGTGTGCATGACCTCCTGACAGTGGTAGTGGGATCCACATCCCCGTTATCTGCCCTCCCCATGGGGACTGACCCTACTACAGCCACAGGGACTTACACTCGGTGGTGCTCCAGGCTGTCATGGACCACCATGGGGCTTTCACACATGTGAGCACTGGTTGGGTGGGCAGTGCCCACAATGCACACGTGTTCTGGAACTCAACCCTGCCAGCCCTGTTTCAGATCAGCCACTTTGCACAGGGGGTGTCAGACCTGCAGCTGGGTGCTGTGGCCATCCTGCCCCTCCTCACTGGGGACCCCACCTACCTGCTCCTGCCCTGGCTCATGTGGCACTACACCAGCCACCTGGACCCCTGCGAGGCTCACTTCAACCATTGCCTGGGCCAGGCCTGCACCCTGGGGGAGCGAGCCTTCAGACACCTCAAAGGATGATGGTGCACCCTCACCCCCATCTCGAGTTTGACAACCTCCCCAAGGTCATTATTGCAGCCTGTGTGCTGCATAACATCTGCAAGGCATGGGAGGAGCTCTTCCAAGAGGCCTGGCTAGAGAAGGCATGGTGCGCAGAGGGACTACCACCTGAGGCAGCAGTGGTGGGCCCGCCCAGCAAGGCCTCAGGAGAGCTGCACATTCACCAGAAGGAGTGACAGTGAACAACACTTTCCTGGTGCAGGCAGCTCCTGCTCTGGCAGGTGCAATCCAGGCCCAACAGGGCCAGAGTGTGGTCTTGGCACCACTGCAGGCAGCTCCGGTTCCATGCCTGCATGGAACTGGGATGAGAGGTGAGGCCGGGCCTAGGCGGGCACACTGGATGGTGCCAGACCTGGGGCAGGAGTCAGGCCTGGGACCCCTGGTGGCTGAAGGCAGCAAAGGACCTCCTCCCAGGCCTAGGTTGGAATCTGCTGCAGGGCGGTGGGCAGCTGTCAGGGGGCAGGTAGGGCTAGGGTCAGGGGCTGGGCAGCAAGTGGCATGAACATGACTGCCAGGGCTAGAACAGTGTCCAGCACCTTATGGTCATCATCCATGGCCTGCATTGCCTGGCCCAGAATGGCATTCTACTCCTGCAGCACCTGGAGCTGCTTGCACTCCAGGGCCAGGAGCTCAGCCCAGAACTCCCAGTCTGCCCAGTCCTGCACGTCCTCATGCCAGTCCCTTGCCTCCTCGTGGGTGACACCCTCTGCCTGCCAGGCCCATGAGTCCTCCAGCTGGTCCCATAATGTCACCACCAGCTGCTCCAAGTGGAGAGTCCTGTCCTGAGTTTTCCTCCGGTGAAGCTGGCGCATCCGCAGGGCCCCAGCTGGGGGCAGCGGCAACCCTGAGGCTGCATCCTGACTGCCAGGGGCAGCCTCTCCTCAACATGCAACTGCAGGGAGAACATCACCGCTGTCTTCAACATGTTCCTTGGTGAGAGGCCTGTGGCCACCTAGCTGCGGGAACATGGGGTGCTCAATAAAGTTCTGTGCTGTCTTCTATCTCCCTGTGCTCTGTGGGGAGGAACCTGGGGCCAGGGAAGTGTGGGTGGGCTGGGCAGAGAAAGGGGGCAAGGGTGGGAGAAGGGCCCTCCCTCCAGCTCAGTCCTGACCACATGGCCTTGGCTGGCGGCTCCACTTGGACCTGGCTGCCTGCAACAGTATCTGGCTCTAGGCAGTGTCCTTGGATGGAGGGGCATGGTGTGCAGGTTCCTGGCCAGGGCCCCACCCTGGGAAGAAGCAGGCACTGGTGGCAGCCAGCGAAGTTGTGGCCAGCTGCACCTCATAGCTGGGCCTGGGGCTGCGGACCTGCAAGGTAGCTACTGACCAGGGCTCCCTGAGTTGCTGGTGGAAACTGTAGCTGGGGAACTCAGCAGGATGGGATGCTGGGCAACCAAGGGGCCCTCCTCTAGTGATATGTCACTGGAGGTGCCAGGCTGGGGGCAGAGCCGGGAGAGCACAGTGGGCACAGGGGCTTGGACATGCTGCCCATGCTGCTAAAAATAACAGCTGAAGCCTGGGTCCTGGGGTGCAAGAATGGTGTCCAGTTGCCA